TTATAAGATTAAGGCAAGATCTTTTTATTGATCTAAATATAGATATAAATTGTCGTGTACGATTCATTGCAGATTCCTAGGTCATTAAAGATTATTAGTGAGATTCATATACATATTATATAAGGACCGCTAATGTTTAACATTAGCGGTCTTTCAATCTTATTATAAATTATTATATATAAGGTTCTTATATAATCATGTACGTTCATTTAGTAATCTTGATTGATCACATACAACTCTTTTAAGATCTGGTACAAAAAACTTACAAGAATTTTCAACAGGGTATGTATAAATATGTATAAACATACATAAATATTCCTAAACATCCCTAGGGTTGTTTTCTGTTCCTGCACTGGTCGCACTAGTTCAACCTTTGAAAAACCTAGAAATCCTCCGCTCTTAAACAACGCCACTCTACGCGTCTCACTACGAATATATCTACGAAAAACTAAGAATCTCTAAGACAAACAAACCTCACTCTACGTCCCACTACGAATATCTACAAAAAATTAAGAATTTTTAAGATTTTGTCTTAATCTATGTAGTTTTTATGTACTTTTTCATAAAAATTTTTTTTCCGCCAGAGGGATTCTATTCAAAATCTGTTTCCGCAGGCTTTGCTATCAGGGATGTATAATCAATAATTATATATGAAATACGTCGTTCTATATTGAAGTAATTGCTTCAATCAGTCAGCCCTGACTTAAGGGGGGGGGCTGAGGGGGCTGTAGCCCTGTTCCTCATCTTTTTAGGAGGCCCCTTAGTCTCAGCTCTTAAAATTATATTTCATTGATAAAAGTAAATAATCTAGTACAAATAAATAATTAAAAATTTTAATTTTCCATTCCTCATACAATAAAACACAATATTCAATAAAAAAAGATACATATTTCTATGTTCTTTTATCTGGAAACGTACATTTTGGATGCACCGTGCATTTGTTTACGCAGCAGTTAGTGTAACTGTATTATTATCTTTTAACATTAGGTTTGTTCGCGTTGCGTGAAATTTTTGCACTTTTGTACTAAGTGTACATTAACTCATTTCTGTTGCCGAACATGATGTCATAACAGCTGTTCGTGTTACCAATGCAATTACACTTTGGACAACACTTTTTGCTCTTGGTCTTGAGGAAGAGTAAAAGATGTCTGAACACTAAAATGAAATTTGTTCGCGTCGTATGCTCCATGTTCCAATATGCTCCTACCATAGCTCTTACTCACTCCAACACGCTTGATAGAGTAAGTAGGAGCTATGGTAAGAGCATGTTGGAGCGTTTTGGAGCTTGCGACGCGAACAAACCTATGCTATGGTGAGTAGAATGGAAAATAAGACTTCAAAATTGATTCGGATTTAAAGCTATCCGGATATTCGTTTATCCGCGAATTACGAATAAATGTGATGCTTGAAATTCGGATTATATGGAGATTCGAATTTTCTAAGATATCCGAATTTCGATCCGAATAGTAAAAGGCGAACCCAGATCCGGTTCTCAAATTCGATTCCGGATTCGTAGTAAACTTATAGCGAATTCGGTTGGATGCATTAGTGCGGACTGAATGAATATTAAAGCTATTATATACTTATTTAATCTGAGTGTAAAAGTGAAATACAAATACTTCTTTTATTAGCTTTGAACATCTTTGTTATTATTATTTTAAGATTGAGAGTCTGTTCTAAACATTTATATTTATAAATAATATTAAATCTCTCTAGAACGTATATGTGAGAAACGCAACCTAATAGAAATAAATGCTTTTTAAACCAGGCCTGTCCAACACTTTGCTCGTGAGCCGAAACACTTCCACCTATCCACCGTCTCGGTAGAACGAGACGGAGCGAAAATAACAAAGAATAGACGCCAACATGCCATTCGAATTCAGATCTGTCCAAGCGTCGTAGAAATTCGGTAATCATCAGTTATTTTAAAAATCATTGATGATCAGATCAGGTCAAAACGTTTGATTAAAATTTTATTGTAATTTTTGGGTGTTACAGACAAGGATAATAAAAACTTACTGTAATTGCAAATTGAGAAAAGGACTCCCTTTTGGTTCCTTCTTTCTACGACGCTTGGACAGACCTAAATTCAGGCGAAATTTTGACGTCTATCCTTTGTTATTTTCGCTCTGTCTCGCTCTACGGCGAAGAGGTGGAAGCGGTTCGACTCACGAGCAGTGTTCAACAGGTCTGCTTTAAACGGTCTAGCTGGATCTTAAGTGTTTGTATAATTCTGTGCGAATTTATATTTATATTTTTTTTTTTAATTTAATTTTTCTTCAATTGTATGTGTGAATTAAAATTCAATTTTTATTATTTAAAAAGTAACTTATGCTAAAATTTATTAAATACGTCGATGTTTTCTTTCTTTCTGGATATGGATCTAAATCCGAAGCCAAATTCAGATCCGAATCTGAATTTAGATTCGAATCCAAATTCAGATCCGCGGATCCGAATAATTCGGATATCCGGATTACCCAAATTATACGGTTTTAAATTCTCGGATCGGAATCGATTTCGGATATTCGAATATCTAGATATCCGAATATTTAGAAGCCCTAGTGGAAAGTACGATGTTAAAACATAATCTCTTACAATTTTTATACGATTATATTTAGAGAAATATTGCATACATGGTGCTATAAAATTATGCAATATTTCAATATAATTATTCTATTTTGATTAATTGCTAACATATTGTTTAGCATTATATTCCAAAATACATACGATAAAGTTATAATCCAAAAATATTCGGGGACTTAGAAAGCACATCCAAAAAGGTTGGGGAATCTCCAGGAACCTCGCATATTCGGCTTATAAGGAGTACTCGAGTACTTTTTATAGAACTTCTGGATATTTTCTCCTTATAAGAAGCATATCCCTTTCGTGGCGGGACCGCATACTTATTTATTGAGTTGTAATATATTGCAATATTTTCTACAAAATTAAAATCACAATATTTTGCAATATTTACAATAAAAGATTATAATTTCAATAGTGCAGCAATATTGCTGCAATTTTTGCAATATTGTGCATTATTGAAATATTACTGCAATATTGCTGCTATATTTCGTGTTGAAGGGGTAAGTACGCGGCTCAGCCACAAGGGAGATACATTTCATTTTTTAATAAAGAGTTATTGTCAAATTGAACCATTTTGATTTGAGGATACCAAAACCACAAAGCGATAGACTTTAGAATCTGAAAAAATATTTTTTCTATTCTTAAAAACGTTTTATAATCCAGATAAATGCAACTTTTAAAGGCCCTGTAGGAAGTGAGGGGAAATTTTCAACTGGATCTTGGTATGGGTGAACAGACCTACAATTTGAGGGGAATAATGAACCATTTGAACGTTTGGAACCTTGCTAAAATCGATCTTAAATTCGAAATTTGATCATTTTTTCACATTAATCGAGCTGTATTTTTTAAGGCGTATATCGTAGACCTATACTGAATTATTGCATCATGTTCAGCGACCAAAAAAACATACAATACCACATTTCAAATCCGGATTATGCCATTTTTGCATCAAATCAACGTGTATTAAGGAAAATCGAAACTTTGATTTAAAAACCGTTCACTAGCGACCTTTAAATCTAAATATATTTTGATAAAAATTTAGGGGTATTTTTTTGGCATGAAATTGAAGCTTTTGAGCTGAGAGGCCGATTAGAAAAAAAAATGTTTTTCTCGTCAGTCTAATATACAGGGTGTTCCAAAATTTTTTGTCAAACGTTCTCGTGTAGATAGAACGGACTAAATTGAATCGAAACCTCTACCTCTTTTGCAATTTTCGCAACGGTTAACAAAATATTAATTAATTACTAAATGTCGCTGAACCTTGGTCTTCAATAATTTTTTACTCAAATATTATCAACTTTACAGAAAAACAGCGAGAGACAAAAATTGTTTATTTTCGTCTCATAAAATTCTGAGAACATTTTCAGAATTTTTTAGAATTATTTTATACCGCATTTTCCGATATTAGTAAAAATAATTGCCAATAAGAAAATGCAGTACTAAAGAGTCAATAAAATATTCTGAAAAATATTCTTAAAGTTCTATGAGAAGAAAATAAATAATTTTTGTCTCTTTCAGTTTTTCTGTAAGTTGATAGAATTTGAGAAAAACATTATCTAAAGCCAATAGAGAGAGAGAGAGAGAGAGAGAGTCGGGGGAATTTTTAGTAATTAATATCTTGTCAACTATTGCGAAAATTACAAAATGATAGAAGACTTTTCGACTCAATTCAGTCCGCTCTATCTACACAAGAACGCTTCGCAAAAAATTTCAGGACACCCAGTATATATAAATATATGTGTGTGTACATATATGTATAATTGCAGATATAGTTTAAAAACTAGCTACTTTTTTGCTAATTTTTTGTAAAAATTAATTTGATATTGGTCCATAATTTATAATTATGGATTTCAAATCGGCGTTCTATATAATTATTATAGAAATAATAATTTCTAATTATCATCCGAATTTTATTAATCGGTAGCTTACATACTCTATAACTCCAACAATTGATTATATCAAATTCTCTTACATAAAAATAAACATTATATACTTTACCCTTTTCAAGGCAATTTTTTTGTTAAATCTTTCTATAATGTAACCTGTAATCATTCCAATAATATATGGACCAATTCGGACCCATGGTGGAAAGTATAAGACATCTAGAAGTCTGTACTGTTCGTCCAAACTGCAATAATAGAAAAGCGTTTATTTACTTAATTATTCTCACAATTAATAACATGCTTTTCAACTTACGTTGGAACATATTCATAAATGTATGAGATATAACCGCTCAAGATGATCGAGCCTATTAAAATTATACCTAGTATGACAACAGCCACATAAAAATATCTGAAATTTGTATAAGCTTTTATTTCAGATATATGCGTTGAAAATATGTAACATTCAACAGTCAATGTTTAACTTACACAGTTGACAGAATTAAAAGCGCCTGACCAATTATAAAGAATTGCATATCGTTGGATAGATACCAACTCCAGGACAAGCACTACAAGAAAATTTCAATATAACTCGGAATAAGGAGTCTCTCTTACAAGCTTCTGAGTATGTGGTGCCCGAATGATATTATAATTAAAGCTGTATTCCAAAATTTACTGCCAGTACTGAAAATCTATAATCTACGTCACGTGCACTATAGATTTTCAGTACTGGCAGTAAATTTTGAAACACAGCCTAAATTGGCGTTCGTACCATCGTATTACGACCAAACAGATTATGTATGTACAAGATATTTCTCCACCAGTATTTCGAGCAAGTTTCGTGTGGTCTTTCCTCAATGTAGAATTGCGAAGTCTTGTCGTACCAAGCTGAACTTAATTGCACTATTCCTATTATCATTATGTAAGCCGGTGTCAACCTTAAAAGAAATTTCTAGATTTAATCTTAACAACTATAAAGAAAGTAATTATTATCTGGCTCATTGTTAAATTGAATTTTTAAATCGCATTCTCTGTTATTTTGCTCATTACTGTATCATTGATGCTGTCATGCTTACAGCGTCCCATACTGAAAGAAATCATATCACAACGTTACATGATGAAATCATGTAGTAAATCACGGTACGGATTGTTCCAAATCAGTAAGCAATTTTGTTAAAAGATGTAATTTAAAAAATCACATGATATTAGATATAATTTCATCCATTATGTGATTTTATATTTATCGAATTTTAAAGAGTTGAAGAATAAAAATGGAAGAAAAACGAACATATCATCATGTGATTTTTCAAAAAATATGTAATTAAAAAATCACGTATTGATTTGGAATAATCTGTTACGTGACTTATATGTTTTAATAGTGAATTATATGATTTCATCGTGCAACTGTGTGACGGGATTTTTTTCAGTAGGGTCGTTTTCGTTCATTGTTCACGTCAATCAAAATAACGTTAGAAACGTACCGGATATATCTCTTTATTAATCTGACAAAGAACTCGTTCAGCTTCTCTCTGTAATGAATCGGCTTAATTCGTTCCTTGTCTATTTTATTCTTTAAATATGTGTAAGCCAATAAAAATCCGCTTAAAAAGAAATAAGTATCAACCGATACGGTTCCGTTGCTTATCACTTGAAAGGGGATACCTTCAGACAACCTCAACAGCCACACTTTATTGTCTACATTTGTGGAACGACGTTCGTTATGCATGGAAAACGGAGACGTAAATAATTTCAGTTCTAATAATTTTTGTATCAATACACTTACCGAAATATTCCACCGTATAACATGCGGTATGGAATATGATTATCCAAACCATGGACAGAAATCTTATGCCGT